TAGTCACCTGCTCCCACAAAGTGCCCTCAGGGCAGATTTTTCATTTCAAGAGGATGTGACTAGATGGGAAAGGGCGGAGCTAGGGTTTTTTGCTATGGTTATTGTGAAACACCTGCTATGCCCTTCCACCATCAAGCCCAAGTGCTTCACAGGCCAAGGCCAAAGAGACTGCAGCAACAGAGGGGTTGGGGTAAAGCATACAGCAGCCAGGATGGTGAGGCCTCTGACAGCTCGCAGGACTGCCCAGTGAAGGTCAGACCGACCTCACAAGTCTTGAAATCCCTGAGAGCTAAGATTCACTCCATTCAGGCCCCTTGGACCTACTTGGTGACTTGGCAGATGTGTTCACATCTAGGGAGGTGCACTAATGGCTCTAAAAGCCTTTCCGTCCTTGGCAGGTGCTCAGAGAAGATGCTTCTCTCCCATCCTGCTCCTATTCCCACCTGCTGAGCTTTGCTGAAGGAGATCTCTGTAGTTATTGGTGGGAGAGATCAGCACTGTCACCAAAGATATGCTTGTGAAAGTGTCAGCAGGGTCAAAAACAGATGACAACATACTGCTGTAGGGCAACTGCCTAGGAAATAGTGTTTCTTATTATCATACACCTTTTTTATTTTTTTAATAAAGTTGACATCTGCAGCTCCTCATGAGAAGTCCTTATTTTCTGGGTATGTGCTTCATTAATGGGATGGATTGTGGGGAAACATTCTCTATAGGTGATGAATGAGCCCAGGGATGATCTTAGGCTGAGACCAACATATCAAGTGAAGTGCAGGTCTTCCAGTAGACAGGAAACTGTGAGAGAATACTCTTTAAAAAGTGAATTGTCTCCTCTGCACTCTAATCTTGTCCTCACCCCCATACTGAGCATTGCAGGGGTTTCTGACCACATTTTGCAGCTGAGTATATTGCAAGAAGAGACCTGGGAAAGGAAAGAGAGCATCCAAAACTGTCTTATCTTCTTAAGTTCATTCTAGACCGTTCTTTTCCTTTCTTTCATTATTTAATTTTTACCAAAACTCACTGTCCTAACAAGGACATATCTCCTGGCACGAGTTGTACTGCAGATGCAACTACATGAAAAAAAAAAAGGCCTATTCTATTCAGGAATGTGCAAAAGAACTCTCATATCTGTCAACTGCAAACCCTCGCCAAGGCAGATGGGCTCCAATTCAAGCATATGCTTGCTGAAACAAAGGGAAGGGCTAAAGTGCGGTTTCCTTCAGTTTCAAAACTCACCTTCCTGTTAAATGCATTATGTACAAATTGTAACAGACCAAAATTGCATATTTTAGCATCTTCAAAACTGTGTTTGATGTTTCCTCTTTCCATGCCTGGCACAGGCTGAAGTAGCTCTTCAGTGCTGTTTAATTTTTTGTTCATGTCCCATCTCCTGCAAGTCCAACCCTGACAAAACCCTTGACATAAAGTTTCACAGTTAAGATAATTGAAAACCAAGCTGCCATTGAGATGAATAATCTCAACCTTCTCCTGTTCCCACCTGTTGACTCTCAGTTCTTGTCCCTTTATAAGGTCAGCTCCAGCAACTGGATTCACAAATTGAGCAGTAAAGCCTTGCTGCTCAGTGACAGCTACATAGCTGTCAGATTAGACAAGGCAGGGGAACACTAGGGCACAATCAGGGGGTTTCTGTTAACGAACAGCTCTGAAGAGCAAGAATCCACCAAGCAGGAAAGAAGACACCCAATCTTCAAGCACAGCTGCACAAAAGTAATGTCCCCAGCACCACAGGCACTATGTCCATAAACACATATGCCACTTTGGTCTAAGGTGGGCTGCACCACTTGGTACCATGAAAAAAGCCTTTTCTCGTGACCCATCCAAAGAATTTTTCTTTCATTAAAACTGGCCCTGATTCAGCATGAAAGGCAGCACCAGAAGTGGCACTAAGGCTGTTCCTCCCCAAATACCTTCATCACCTCTTCCCTCTGGCCACATCTGTATGTGGGCACAACTGCCAGGCAACAGCAGGCAGCAAAAGAGGGTATCCCAATGACCTTTCATTTTTGTTTATTGATTGATGACCAGGCACCTTAGAAAAACAATGTGGTTGTTTCTTAACCAGCATGGTGCCTGTGGTTAAGAAACAGAGCAAAACCACAGAGAAATCACTCCTTTTGCAGGATGCTGCATGTTTTTATCTTTCTTTATCTGTCTTTATCTCCTTCTCTACCCTATGAGAAGGAGAAGGGATGGGAAGTCAGAGCAATCATCTTGCTGTGGAACTGCCTCCCTTTTATGGAGTGGAGCACTGCTCCAGCTCACACATCACTGCTGTGCTCCAGCCAGTCACACACACGATTGTCCCAAAGAGCTGGGATTTTAAAAGTACACTGGCCTTGAATGGAGTAGCTGGCTGACTTGATGCTTCGCTGGCTCTAGATGTGTGGTGGGGGGAAACTTCAATCATCAAGCAATTGGCTGCTACACCGCAGAGTAAAGTCAGTTGCTATTTCAGGGAAAGGAAAGGCAACTGTTCCCCAGAGGGAATGACTGCACTAGCTCAGTGCCAAGAATAGGCTGAGATTTTAAATTTTTTTTCCCTCTACACTTCAGGAAAAGCGAACACACAATGTTCATTCGCAGGGATCGTTTCCTGAACATGATGTGTGCTCACTGTCCCCCAGGCCACTTTCCAGTGTGTCATATCCTTCTGCACAAGGGAGAGCAGGAAATGGCAAACTCCCAGTATGAGGCAAAGCATTCCCATCGCAGTAATTGGTCCACAAGAGCTATAAATTGGTCTCTTCCAGAAACAGATCAAAATTTGTCTTTTGGGAGGTCAGCTGGAAACTGAAGGTAAGCTTGAACCAGTAATTTTTGGCGTCTCTCCGAGTACGGTATTAGGGAAGTGTTTGCAGGTTTTGGACTAACATATACCTTTATTGTTGGGGAGATTTTTCTCTAAGAGCAGGAATTGGATTTGTTTTCCTTTATGCTGGCATAGATCAGTGTATTCAAAAGATATACATCGCTGCATGGTTTATGCTATACATTGAATGACTGTTCAACTAATGCAGCAAGATGGTCGCTGTTATTGAGACCATTGACACTATTACCTGAGAGACTTCTCAGCAATAAAAACTTCAGAACAGGCTGTTAAGAGGCTACAGGAACTGATATATTTAATGATCATCATATTGATCTATTGTTGTTATTAATTATATGCTCATTGTTCATTTCAATGCTGGTATCCATTTAGATTACTGTTAATCCTTGTGCTTTCAGATTTATTATGGTGTAAAAATAAGAGGACACTGCCTCCAGCTAAGAAAAGCACAATGTACTAAGTGATTCAAATGGTCCAATGATACCAAAAGAGCCTGGGGCCATTTTCTGAAGGGCATAGAGGGCAGTCTTAAAGGTTTCTGAGTGAGACGGATTAGGACAAGCAAGAAGAAAGAGGGAAAATGAAGTTAGAATTATTTACTTACACACTTCAGTATTGAAAGATTATTTATGGTACAAAGTTTCCTCCTTCTGAAACATGAGAATTCTGCAGAATGAAGCCCCAGGGATCTCAGCTATATAGTGTGCTTGTGTAAGGGGCCGGAGACCTCCAGTTCACACAATACAGAAGGCTTAGAAGTGTTAAGGTGGCTGCAGCAATGAATAGTTTTGCCTGGCTGGCTCTGTGATAGGGTCTTTCTGCTACAGAGACTTCTTTTGGCTATGAGGGTATTATGGTCTGCAAACAGCTTCTTAGCTCTATGGCTAGAGCTTCCTAGGTGCAGAGGCAGCATAGCTATGTGCACAATGCAGTGTTGTGAAACACAGAAGCTCTGCTCCCACCAGGTAACTGGCGGTGCTACATCACTCCTGTTGACTTCCTTGCCTCAGTTTCCCTGTAAGCAGGGTTAAGGATGCTGCCTTCCTTTGTAAAGCATTTTGCACCCCTATAGCAACCTGCAGATGCTTATTGGAACACGTTTTTCATCATGTCACCCCTGTGACAAAGAACAGACAGCAAACACAGATCGCCTAGCACAGAAACCCTGAAGATTCACTCTTTAAAAGGGAAGACATTCTACTGCTCTCTTGCCAGGAGACGATTGTCATAGCCAGCAGTTTTCAAACCTTTTCTATTCACAGGCCTCTGTATTTCCCCTGTTCCCCCATCCCTAAGGAGTTCGCACTAAAAGTGGGCCTGCTTTTCTGATGTGCTCTCCATGAACATTTCAAATGAGGTCCATATGCCTCTCTGCCACTGTAACTGGGGATCCATGACCATGGGATGGACTAAGCACCACAGAACAATGGTTCCCATCTTTGTCCAGACACTGATGCCAGATTACAATAGGAAAAAATGCTGCAGGACCTTGAGTTACTTAGACTTAAAGAAAGGAAGGATGTTCACAATACCCATCTGAGGCATCAATGAGCTTCTCAGCTCCTATATTGAAAAGCCAGACCATGACTCCACTAAGCACCTTCCCTCTGTCCTCCTTTAATGGGAAATCACCCCTACATAGAAACCTAGGATGGTGGCTTTCACCTCTTCACTGCCTGACCTTTCTTGTGAAAGGTGCCATTGTATATTGCAGATCCTCTGAATCCCACCACAGGGACAACAGGTTAGTTCTGGCAGCATTACTACTCTGGGCACTGAGACACTTAATCTCAAAGGAATTTCTGTCCCCATGGTTCTAAGAGACATTTTGTGTCTTCACAGTGCTAATAGCACAACCTCTGACCCCAACCCTCAAGATATTTTAGTCTTCTCAGGGAACAAGAAAAACACAAAAGTTTTTGTCTGAAAGTTGCAATAGAATACGTAAGTAAATGTGCGTGTGCACATGGTCACGTGTGTACGTGAGTGTGCATGTGTGTGCAGATGGAAAACCTTTCATGTAGCTGTGTGAAGCAGCAAAGATTTGGTTGGATGCCATCCTTGAAATGATGGTCCAGGCTGAGCATGTCTTGTGGGGTTTTTCTGGCATAAATCCTAACCTAGCCTTTTCTGTTTCTGGACAGAAGCCATGGAGAGAAACAGTGATGCTGTTCCACAAACGCTAGACCCCACACACCACTTCCACATAGCACTGCTGGATCAGAGACAGAAGCTGCATGGCCAAATTGCTCACCTTCACAAGGTAGCTCATAAACTCAACAAGCTCCGCAAAAGGTCTGTGATTGCCAACGTCAGCGGGAGCACCCTGACTGCTGCAGGGGCAGTCACAGCCATCCTGGGTCTGTCCCTGAGCCCGGCCACACTCGGAGCCTCTCTTCTGGCATCAGCTGTGGGTCTGGGCCTGGCCACTGCTGGGGGAACCATCAGCATCACTTCTGACCTCTCCTTAGTGCTCTGCAATTCTCGGGAGGTGAGGAAGGTGCAGGAAATTGCAATGACTTGTAGGAAACAGATGAGGGAAATCCTCGGCTGCCTGGAGTTCCTTCGCCGGGGGCAGGGCCCAGGGGACCCTACACTGCGCCAGTCAGAGAAGAGAGCCTCCATCTCCCTGTACAACTCTGTCTGCTTCATGGTCTTCTGTGGCTCCCACAGCTTCCTCGTGCCAGAATACACACAGGAGGTCACGAAAGTAAGCCAGGCTGTGCTGAAGGCCAAAATCCAGAAGCTGGCTGCCAACCTCGAGACCTGCACCAGGGCAATGGATGAAGTCTGTGACCTTCTTGAGTCCAGAACAGAGCTTTCCCCATGCAAGAGACTCAACTTGGATACTAAAACCACCACTGAGATTGTAAAACCATCCAGCTGAAACAGTGCTTTCCCTATATTAAAACTGGGTTTGGAGACATTACATTATTAATTGTGACCACTAGCACTGCTACCCATTACTATCGTAAAATTTGTGGTGTTGATGCACAGAGGTGAGCACACCTCGTGAGTTATCTGTATCTGAACACAAATTCCTTCCTGATAGGAAGATATAACTTAGACACACCCCACCAGCTGACAGCAGACACCTGACTCAGGTGGGAGGTTATAATGAACACATGGACTATGTTGCACACAGCAGCAGATCTTAGAGCCTAAAGGCAAGGGTAGGCAGACATTCCTCAGACCCATGTTTCCCCAGCCATCTTTCCAGCTCTGCTTCCCCAAGGCAGCAAAAAGAAGTGGGTCAGGAAGCTGATGAATGAACCTGGTTTGTAAACAGTTTATGAATCTGAGAGTGGTACAAGGGCTGGGGTACCCTAAAAAGCCAGCAGCTGCCAATTTCCAGTAGAATACAGTCCTGTTACCAAGGTACATCTGGAAAGGCTATAGAAAGAAGCAGCTCCAGATATGACAGACTGTATGGATGGCTCATCATCCCAGGGTGAAATAGCAGAACCCGAAATTGTTATCCCTTTTGAAGAAACCTCTCCAGACTGAGAATTGTGATGTTTGTGTTCTATTTATTTACATTGGGATTATTTTAAGGTTTTGTTATTGTATTTAAAGATGTATATATTTCTTTCTTTTAAAAAGGAGGCCACTGCTCCAAAGGAAAGCAGTTGTTGTTAGAGTCAAATCAAGTCTGTGGCATGTGAGAGCAAGTTACCTGTTATTTGGCTGTGAGGGAGGGCAAGTCCCTGTAGGAAAAGGAAAGCATGGCCTGAATGCTGATAGTTATAAAATAGGTGAAACATGGTCAACCAGTGAGAACAGATCTTAGGAACTAAAACAGAGAACAACAAGCCAGTGACCCTGGGACTAGAGTCTGCCTCAGGGCATTGGTGAAAGAAAGCAGTTTATGTCTTGAAGCAGGGAAGGAAACAGATTGATGTTGCTGATCTGAGCTGGAGTCCAGCTGTGACGAAAGCACATCTGAGAGGTGGAGGTGTCACTCTCTGTGTAGTCATGCAGCCTGTGAGACCCACAGTGTGAGAAAGGAGGCAGCACTCATGGAGAGTTGCACACACTCCTAGCAATGCTTCCCAGAGAAGACTTCATGTTAGTGAAATGTATACTGTTACTAATATTCAAGAGGGGTACAGAGAGATGGATGATTCAGTGGCAGAGCCCATATGAAGTCGGAGCAAGGACTGGGATCCTGTTTCAAGTGACTGTTCTGCAAATATGTCCTTTGTGACTTCTCAGTACCTCAGTTCCATGTCTAAAAACGGGGTAGTAGCAATTCCCTACTTTACAAAGAAATTTCTGGGACATATATTGAATTCAAGTACTGTGATGATGGAGATCATGTCAGGACCTGCAAGAGGTGCAACAAAGAGACCCTGAAACTAGCTTGAGCCAACTAGAAGAGTTAATGCAGAGAGAACTCCACCTCCACAAGCATGCCCCAGTAAATAAAGGAAACTTTCCTGCACAGGCATGAATCAAAATGATCAGAAAAACCCACTCTGTAATATTATAACACTGAGCAAATTCTTAGGAAGGACAACACTCTGCTTCACAAAGCCTGAATCCTTGTCCTTTTTGTCTCTTCTTCTCATGACATCAACATTTGTTTTTATACATAAGAATAAAAGCTTTGGTCCCCCAGAGCATGACTCAGATGCTTGTGATACTCATGCCTGTTTGCCAGAAATGAACAAGTACACTGTTGGTTTGATTAAACAAATATGAAGCACTTTTGTGTCAGTGTCTCTCTGCACACCTGCATGTGATCACATTCCTGCCCCTGGCTCACCCTGCTCAATTTTGTGCTCCCAGCACTGAACCCGGGGATCAATATGAGCAGCTGAATGTGTTCAGAAGGCAAGGATGAAAAGCAAGGTCATCATCTCCATGCCACACAGCTGGTTTGTGTATGAGTGTATGTGTTATGTCTGAGTGCATATCCTGGTGTGCACATTACCCATGTACACTGTGGATGTTGGTCTCTGACATGCGAACACTGAAGTACGTATGTGTGAGCACATAAGTGCCTTTTTGGAGTGTGAACTATACACTATGCAAAGGTAGACACAAAGCAAAACTTTCCCTAGTGCTCTGGCATATCACCAGCTAACTCTACCAGACCAATGACAACTTTACTATGCTTCTGCGAAGGCTGGTTTTATCATTGCAGAGAAATCTGTATAACATATACTTACCCTACCTGTTCCCCAGTTTTCTAGCAATTCAGTTTCCTCCACACAGGAAACAACATAAGAACAACAACAGCTCTGAACAGAATCTGACTGGCAGAAGGATATGAATTTGATAGCTTAGAGTTTTATAGGACTGGTCAGCACAGTCCTGCACTGCAATCACAGCCACTGTTTCAGCAGCTGGGAGCAAATCAGACACTTTTGCTTCCAGTTTCAGCCACAGGGCTAAAAAATCCTGCTTCTGTTCTGTTTTCCCCTAGGCTAATCCTTCACTTGAAGTCAGGAGTTGGGTTGTTGCACAGGGCTGCTGTGCAAATGCAATCAAATCCAAGGTACCACACTCTCCTGGCCAGGTCTCAGCCATTCATTCCCCTCTCCAGGTTTGTTTGCCAGCATTGCAAAGGGAAGCTTAGGCAGAGAGTGGGGCTTGCAGGCTTGAAGATCTGTAATCTGACACCAAACAGAGTAGCTGTGTGACTTAGCTTGCTCCAAAACCTGCCCAGTGCTCTTGGACACCTTCTAAGCCAAGTGGTCCTGTGAACTTAGACCTATAACCTCACACCTCAGCTACACTTGATCTGACAACTAGTGGACAGCACAGGAGGTAGTCAGATCCTCCTCACCCAGCTCTGGGCATGCCATTCTGTCTCCTCCCACATAGTTAGCACTGGATCTCATGTGATACTCAGAAGATCCAGCTTTGGGAGCTGTTCTAGCAGAAATCTACCACATTTGGTGGCAAGATTAATTTTTTACTCCCTAAAATGGCTCACTGCTGGGTCGGGTGAGCATCAGAGGTGGTACCAAGAAAGCACCAGAAGCAAGTGACCTGGGCTGGGACAGGGTGCAGCTACTCCAGTATTAGTATAGGCTTAATTCCTGTATTCTGAATCCCTCAGAGTTCCAAGCAACATTTGGGGGAAATGTCTTCAATAAGCAGCTTTTCTGCTAGTAGTTATGTTACTTACCCTGCAAAGCAATAGATGTGCTGATGGAACTCTTTGGAAGCTAGGCAGCAAGGGGAGGAGAGTAGATGGGTGATTTGATGTTTAGCCTGGGCTGGCAATTACAAAGTCTGGTCTCCTGAAGCCTTTTTTACTCCACTTTAATGAAACTGCTGCAGGGAGGAACAATACACTGGTGAATGCAAACCTGGTTTCAATGCAAAGCCCTGTGGTATGCTTTGAAAGCATAATAAAAGGTGTCAATGACAAAGGAACCTGAGTATAGTCACAGAGTCAGGATATCCCAATAGTCTATTTCTGGGGATTCCAGTGGGTAGACAGGACCATTTGCCATTAACTGTGACCTACTATACATGCTGTCCATTTTGTCTTATTATGCATCCTTTATGAAACAACTGACATTATATCTGCACTAAAATTCACCTGCTGCAGATGCTTTCACCCTGATCCATGTGAAGGAAGACTGAGCTGCAACACGCAATAGAACTAGGAGCATATTTGGCCAACAGCCAAGTGTAAAAGCCCTGGAGTGAAAATGTCTAAATCCAGTATAATCAGCAGTATCCTCCGCTGAAAAACACAAAAATGAAATTACTATTTAGAAGCTGTTGGATTCATTTTATCACACATAAATGCTATCAACAGCAGTTTAGGACAGGAGAAAACTTTTCATTCAAATACATCTACCAACAAAAGGGAGTTACACAAACTGGAGTTTCACCAAAATAGAATTGCTCCACTCTGCTCCCCACCAAAACAGCACCCTATTATCTGGGCAATAAGTTCAACAAAGAATCACAAGCAGTGACTTCCTGTCACATCCCTGACTCCATTTCCTGAGGCATCCCAGTGACCCTTACAAGGATTTCTGTCCAAGTGCTGGCCAGGCTTAACCTTTAGCACTAATGGTATACAACATGCTCATGGCTCAGACTGCTGTAATTTTTGAAACATATGGTCACATCTAGCATCTACATGGGGTGTTTCTTCCCTTTTGTTTTAATTTATTATTTTAAAGTCATTGCTCCTGAGCACAGTGGGATGCAGCAGTTTCATTTCCACTCCTGCCCTTGAATTGTTTCAGGTTTCCTCTCCTTTCCCTGTCACGTAGAGAGTTTGTTCCTATTTCCTCTCACTTTCCTCATTGTTCTGGGAGCAGAGGAAATGCCACACTTGGAATCCAGTGACAGATGCCCAGGTACATCAGCATTTCCACTGAGAGCACACCCAGATGGCCTTCCCAGAGAGAGAGGGAGGTCTGCTCACAAATGCAGTCATGAGTTTCATTTTGCAGTCAGTTCTGCTGTTCTTTTGAAACCTGCGCTCTTGCATACCTTAGCCTTCTTTTGCCTTAAACAAGGGAAGTTTGCCACAAGTTTGTCCTAATGCAATCAGCACTGGGACTACCGAATAGAGAGGCTACACCCAGAGCAAATGGAAACCAATGAGCTCAGAAACATCCATCATTACATGATATTTTGATGCTGTTCTCTGTGGAAGGTCATTAAATGCATGACCATTTTCACCTCTCACTGAACAATTGCAGGCCCAAGTCACAACAGCAGCAATCAAAGACCAGGGAGAGTGTTTGCATCTATTCCCACCCCCTATTCTCTCATTTCATGCTGTGAGTTGCCACAGTTCAGTTTATCTTGTATTTTTGGCACTTCAAAACTTCACATTGGCAATTACCATAAAAACAGGAAAACAAGGTGGGACAATGACACTTATTTTCTTTCCCCCCCCCCCTT